AGGACGGGGAAGGAACCAGTGGGTGTCGATCCAAGCTCAGCTGCCCTCCTCGCTCGGGACAGACCGCACATCTCATCCTTAACCTTGTCACCCTCCCCTTGAATATTTATTCCTGGGCTGGTACAAAAGCATCGAGACTTCAACGGTCAAGCCACTGCTGGGATACTGCAGCCAATGATGGCCATTGACTCCCTCTAGGTACCGACTGGGTACCGACTCCTTCTCATCAATTCATGTGAGCCCGCAGCCAGCCACGCGGGTCCAGAGTCTCAGCCATGGCCTCCTCTGCTCAGCTTGGCGGCCTCCTCTCTTCCATCTTCCGATCGGTGTACGAGCAAGAGCACAAGTGATTCAGGGAAGAAAGCCACGCTGCCACGGACAAACGCCATCTTGACAGCAGAGCAGAGCAGGGCAGGGCAGGGCAGGGCAGGGCAGGGCAGGGCAGAGGGACTTGGCGCCCCGGGTGCGGCTGCCACTGACACGCGCCGGCTCGTGTAATCGACGACGTCTCGTATAAACGGCCGGTCAGCGGATAGACGCAGAAGACGAGCGGAGCTGGCTTGGCCACGCATGGTTCGTTTGTACGTGTACAACCAAGAATATGATGTTTGTTGTGCCCTTTTCTTTGTGTCTGCTCCGCGGCCCTGTCTGCTTGCGCAATAGTAATGCTTTCAAGTACGCGTACAACTTCTATCACAGGTCCGATGTGAGGGGGGCTACCCTTGATTAGCATCCGATTCCACTCGACAGGAATTCGGGATTGCACACAAGACTGAAACCTTTCCACACGCAAGCACTACGCCATAAGTGGGTGGGCGCTTCCCGGAAGGGGTGGCATCACACTGAATCACTTTACTTTCACGCCGCTGCGAAGGGGGCTCCGATCCATGGGGTCCAAGGGAGTTTGAGCACATGGGAAGTAAGATCGACTCAGATTATGACAGGGGATTCGGACTTTTGTCGAATAGAAAGGGGGTTCCAGAGGGGGTCCGTTGCGCCGCAGCGCAAAAAGAAAACGCTGCCACAACCTCGCTCACTTTGTCACGAGAGTCTTTGGCCGTCAGGCATGGAGTGATGTGCTCGTACAAGGAGCATGGAGTACATCTATCCAGCCAAGGATCCCTGAGGGGACCATCCTATATCTGGGGCAGATGAATGCGTTCGAAAAAAGCTAACCCACATTAATGAAATGGAACACCACTTCGCCGATGAATCCTCAAGCCATGCAGGTTCGGCGAGATAAGCTACTGGCTCGAGTGGGCATCGCCAAAACAAAATGGACTCGATGAGCGCGCCAACACCTTCAGCCGCACAGTGGGCCAACGGGATCTGCCCGGAGACAAACACAAGGTGCATATTTATATACCACTACACACTAACACGTACCCTACTTGCACAAGTGTGCGAGATACTACGGGTATACTTGTTACGTGTACATGCCCCTGGAGATGCAATCAGGTGCCATGCCAAAGTATCGCTGGTGTTACTGTTATGTTTAGCATCTGCTCTCGCCTCCCGTCTTCATTCCTTTGCTTCTTTCCTCTGACAGCGAGGCCGGCACGTGGCCACCGTCGCATCCCCTCTGTCGGTGACGTCGACTGGGGATTGCGGCTGAAGCAACCCCAGACATGGGCCCGAGCCATCGAGGCCAGCCGGACAATTTTCTCCGCTCGGGCATCATTTCCAGAGGCAAGGGAGATGAAGTGGCAGATGGTCGGCGTCCAGCTCCAGCTCCAGCTCCAGCTCCAGCTCGAACCATACGGACGGTGACTCTGTGCGTTTTTGAGTGAGGCGGCCTGGGAGGAGACCTTGCCCACAGCTTTTGATTGTTTGATACAGACACGCCTCCTATAGGCACACGTCGCACGCCCTTTGTCCCGGCGACCTGTGTCCTGCCCCAATGGATGACCGCAGATCGCCCCTAAATTTGCGAGGCCAGATCAGATCAGATCAGAAGGGCACTCTTTGTTGCCGCGAGATCTCTCCCGGCGGCAAACTTCTCACACCCCCTCTTGCCCCCCTCTGGCCCCCTCTGGCCCCTGATCCTGCCTTTGCAAGTTGTGTGAATTGTCACAACATTCGGTGGTTTGGCCCTGTCAAACAAGCCTCTGGTGGTTCCCTGCGTCCGGCTTCAAACATACGCTCTTTTGGGGTTGATTTCCTCACTTGGCTTTTGGCTCTTACTCTCGTGTTTGCGGTTCCCTCCCCACTGGCCGGTTATTGTGCTCCACCTGTGACATTCTGTGGAGTGACGGATGAGACATGCTCCATGGATCGCATCTCAGCCGGGCTTCGTCCAGCAGTCATCACGCACACACACGCCCACTTAGTACCTGGGCTAATACCTACGATCGGTGCTTTCCATCACTACGGTGTCCTGGAATCGTCCGGCCGACTAGTGCTTTTCTGCATGCTCATAGTGCAGCCCGCCTCTTCCAAAAACGCGCAAGCATGGTCCACAACTGATGAAGCAAACGGAGCTGTTTGGCTTCCGCAGCTGCACGAGTGCAGGTGCTCGTAAGCATGGTTCCGTTGAAATCGCGGCGGTATCCTGCGTATGTACGTCGTCCTTCTAATAGTCTAGAATTTTCAGGTAGGTCAATTGTTACGCCCCCTCCCCCCCTTTTCATAATCCATATTACTGGGCAAGCCGCGATTGTGTACTTGGGTAAGATATGAAAATCCAGCACTGAGTATTCACCATGTAGGGTAGGAATACTGTGCTTTAAATATCAATACGGGTTTAGCACAAAGCCGAGACAGGTGCTTCGTATGTTGTGGGCAACAATAGTGTCGTTTTCTGCCCCATCCCATCCATGTCTCTGTTTTTACCAAGACACCACTGACAGCTCTGCAGCCTGAAACCCAGCTGGCGCTACCGCCAAAAACGTAATATTGTCTCTCTTTCTTTCCAGCTCAGAGGAATGTTCCCAAAAGAGGAAATGAGAAAAAAGACGGGATGTATCAGTACTCACATGCTTGTAATATCCTGTGTCCAATGCCACGCGCTTCAAGCAAAGGGTAAGACATCAAAGAGAGACGTCCGATACCCCTGACTGACACCTTTTGTTCTTTCTTCTCCACCAACAAGGTTCCAGTATCGCAACATCATCTGACACATCTCTGAATCAAGGAAAGGGAAAAACTCTTAGAGCGGGAAGCACACCCGAGACAAGGTATTTTAGGAAAGCGGTCCTCTGCGGAATGCTATTGACCGACAAATCGGGTTTTCCTCCGAAACATGGGCCGGGGAGACCACCTGACGGGGTTCATTCCAGCCTTTGTTTGACAGCGAATAGTAGAACGAGTCAGTGCGGACGGCGACATCGCTTCCAGTATTTGTCGCAAGGGGGGCTCTTGAACGAGATACCAATGGCTCAATCTTGTTGTCGGACACCCATTAGGTTGCCTTGTCGGAGCCGAGTGTCTTGATATGAACTGTCCGCTCTCGCATTCACCATTTAAGAGGCTGAGACATGCGTTATACAAGCACTACACTGCTACTCTATAATTTCAACTAGTCTCTCTTTGACCGCGCTACCATTGCGGTGGGAGATGCAATCCCTGTCCATCCATCTTCCTTGACACCCACACCAACGAGATGGTAACTGGAGGCTATATACGGTACGAACACAAGGATCACTACTTGGATAGACTAGGCAATGTTGTGACTACTTCAACAAGACGGATGTCTAGGCAAATGGGGCGTCTGGAATGAGTGTTGATACAAAAAGATCTAATGTCAGCTTTTGTTAAAAGATTCCCTGAAACCAGGGAGTAAGATCTCGCGGCTCATGTGTCTCTCGATTGGACCAAAGTTCCGGGCACCCAAATAAAGAAAGCGAGACAAGGTCGGAGATGAAAACGGGGTGTCGACGTAGCAGATTTTGGGTAGATTCTTGCGAGCCGCTTTTTTACGCAAGTGAGACATTACCGTTGGAGTGTTCAGTTGGAGACTATACGATGTACGAGCGGTGGGGGAGCAAGTTCCGGAAGTTTGCCGTTGCTTTTTGCGAAGGCGTTTGCTGGGGATGTGATGTGATTTGATTTGATATGTAGGGAAGAAAGTAGGATTCGGTGAATGGTGTTATTGAGATGGAGAATTTGTGGGAGATGAAGTGTGAAGCAGAGAAGAAGGTGAGGTAAACCTGTGATAATACCCAGTGTAGAGGCAATGTTGTCAAAGTTTCTGGACTACTTCTTCTTTGTAGTCTGTATTCTGTGACAATCTACTGCGTTAATTGGTTTATCGAAGAAAAACCTGCTCTTCTCAACATGGATAGAAGAAAAGGGCTCTATTACAAGCATATCTGACCAGAAATCTATCAATATTCGAGGGCCTACTCAGTCTAAAAGACAATATAGCATTTATATCCCTGTCGAAGCTTGTTACATGTGCAAGAGCAGCTCAAATATATATAAATGCTTCACTCTGTACTCTATAATCACTATAGAGAAGCTCTTCATTCCAACTGGCAAGCGATACATCTTGCTTCTCAGTCATGGAATCTCGTTAACAATTCTGGATAATTGCAACTTTTATGGGCTGGTCAAACTGCTATTTCCTACTTGACCTACTAATCGCATGAATCGACTCTAATAGATGGCATATGAGTTCATGAATTGTGTCGGTTTAAGAAATCTCGCGTTTGTTTATATATGGTTGAAGACCTGACAGTTTATAACTCAAACAACACACACACGTATGCATAACTGACCAGGCTCTGGATAGACCTTCAACAACATGGAGGTTGCTAAATCACATTTAAAGACAGTTTACGAAATCTTATCTCATCATCATGGCTTTGAATGCCAGTAAATCTTTGAAAGTGAGCATTCATCAAATAAGAGAAGTCATGATGATAACTTGAGAGAATAATCTCTGTCATTTGCGTTGAGATAGAATAAATAAGAATTATATGCTTGGTATCCCACGGATTAAATCGCCAGTTGACCTGCTCTCAGCAGGCAATATCCAAACTCCGTGCTTTCATGTCATATTATGCTCCAACTTTAGCTGTTGTTCCGTCTATCCATTCGCTCTTTCGTTTCCGCGACCCATGTCCGGCCTCGGGTGCGTTCTCAGTCTGCCCGCTCACTGCCCGCCCAGTGCTTCTGAACTTGCCCAGGAATTTGGAAAATCCGGGGATATCCAATCCAGCGAAACCTCTGCCCGTGCTTTCCCGCTCACCAATGGCCACGACAGATCCGATGAGGTCATGGGTAATGGTATCATCAACGACGCTATCGTGCTTATAGTTGGGATGGATATCGATAAAGTTGCGGATCCATCGCGCGGCGGTATCGAGCTCACCGCTTGCTCGCTTGCTAATGAGGGAAAGATACGTTGCAAGCTCACATCGGGTTTGCACATCCACGTTGATACTGTCAAGGTAGCTTTCGACGATGGAAATTAATCCTGGGAAGTCTCCGTCGACTGAACCGTTGATAATCTCGTTAATCGTCATCTCTTCGTACTCTTCTTCTACCGGGAGGCTTCCGGGTGAGCCGGGTCGACTGGGCATCGCGGAGCCTGGCCGACTATCATCCCCAAAGGCAGTATTCGCGCGCGATGGTCGAGGTGGGAATGGATTCTTGCGGAAGTAGAACTTGTCTTTGAGAACAGCATCTATGCCGTGGGCACGCTCCATGTTTTCATCCACCTTCTTGATGGGGATATAAAAGTTGAGGTCAAATGAGAGGATGGCCCTTGTAACCAGAACCATGAAGACAGAGAAAGCTGCGTTTTCAAAATCGGTCACCTGAATCTCCATCGAACGGAACTCGACTCTCCATCCAATGTTGTTGTCAGCTGGCGGAGGCTTGAATCGCATGTGCTGCCAGTTAGTCGACTGGATGTTCTCGAAGTGGTCAGTCTTTGTCAAGTCAAGCTCTTGGAGGTCTTCCTCAAAGATGACAATTGGGTCTCGGATGAAGAGATGAGCAAAATGGGTGGCTAGGCGATCATCCATGCCTCCTTCAATCAACTTGGCCTTGATTTCAGGATCAATGACCAGATCGGGATCCAAGTACTCTGGTCGGAGTCGAGGATTTGTCGAGATGTACGTTGAATTGGAGGCATATCGGGACTTGGGGATCCTCCAGCGATCATTTTTCAGGGGCTATATAAGTTTACGGATCAGTATTCGGAATATTCATTTCTCAGAGAGACACCATGTGTTTCTTTTTGACAAACGAGGAGAAAATCTTGGCTTACCTTTTCACCAAGCTCCTCTGGTGTTCTGCAGTCGACCGCACGACTGATCTGATTCCACCGCACATCAGTGCCGGCCAGGAAGCCTTTATAAACAGGCGTTGCCGCAGTCAAAGCCAGCATGATGGGGCCCAGAGGGCTCAGCTGATCGTACAGCTCTCGACCTTCGACAATGTTCTTGGCCTGAAAGGTAATTTGAAGACAGCAGCTTCCCATTCCGAAAGCCATTGCGTCCATGTGAATGAAGTTGTCTGGGGCGGCCCCATTGCGTACATCATCGTCCTCGGGCCAGTTGTGTAAGTCGTAGTTGACGGTGGGGTCCTTCCAGGGGTCTGGAGTATTCTTGTCATGGAAAATGGGGACATTGACTTGGACTTTGCGAGTCCTTCGGGAGCGAATATTAGCGGCCAGCGTTGGGAATCGGATGTGGGGGTTGGCGATTTCGTCGGGCACAAACTGTGACCGCAGCTTTGGTCCGGAGGGAGGGTAAAATGGGTAAGTGAATTGGCCCGGAACACCGATCTGGGGGAAAGTCGTCAGAGTAATGGGATACTCGGTGGAAAGCATATGTTCCTTGGCAATCTTTCGCCGGAGCTTCATATCAGGCTCAACGCCAAGTAACTCCTTTAAACCAATGCCCCAGGGCTTTCCTGGCGTGGCCTCAAGCATGAAGCGACCAAACTCTGGGTGGAAGACTGGCAGTGTTACTTTGGAGGGTTTGCTACAAGATTTGAGTCAGACTAGGACCAAAGGCGTTGAAAACGCTTGATGGCCTTACCTTAGCTTCCCAGTAGGCTTTCCCGCAGGCAGCTCGTCTTGCAGTGCAGGTACACAGCCCGCCTCTGCAAGCTCTTTATCGGCTGCAAGAGCCGTGAGAATTTCAGCTTGTCTTAGGGACAGGAGCACCTTTGGCTCATCTTCTGCGTACGTCACAACAAGATACTCGACCTAAAGTCTTGTTAGTGACCCGATGGAAAGCGGCGTGATGCCAGATTGAACCGAGGGCGTGTAACCTCATCTCCCCATAGCAAGGCATCGCGTTCTTTGCCCTTGGCCTTATTCCAGATCTCAAGGAGTTGCTACAGTAATGTCAGAGCCTATCCTAAATTAGAGAGCAAAAGGAGCGAGGCCAACCAACCTTGATGCCCCATTCTCTCACTTGGTTTGCGCGCAGCTTGGCCTCTGGCCACTCCAGTGCCGTTCCAAGGGCTCTATTCAACCGAAATTCATTAGCCAATAAGTAGTTGCAATAAAATTTGGAGCACAACATACAAGAGACCCATGGTTCAACAATTGGGTGGGATGGCAACAGCAGAGTGCGAGATGCTCCGAAGCTGCAAAGGGCAATTTAACCAGAATAGAAGATTGCCCTAGATGCCAACTAGTGACGGCGGGGACAGCAGCGATTCCAAAGATGCTGCGAAGAGAAAGAAGAAGAAGAAGAAGAATTCGATGAGAGAGTCGGTTTTCTTTCTCGGGAAATTTTCGACGACTCGGTAAACGAGCTTTTTGGAGTCGTCGCACCAGCCCGGCTGAATTATTAAGCGTCACAAAGCCACAGGGAGCGGTAAGCAGGTCGGCAGCTATGACCAAGCCGGGACCCGGTGAAGACAAGATCAATCCAACAGACGATGGCGATGCCGGGGTTGATGTACTTAAGCAGAGGGAAAAAAAATCTCGAACTTGTTAGAGACCGGTCGCCCCCACTCCGGGAGAAAGAAGGGCGCCAAAAGCCACGCCGGGACGGGGGGGTAAGACAGGACAGGGCAGGTTAAAAAAAAAAAAAAAAGGGTAGCGGAAAAGCTGAGATCTATCGAATCTGGAATCACAAAGTGGCTAGACTATTGGAGATCTGGGGGAAGATGAATAATGGAAATGAGTTGGATCACGTTGAGGATGGGATGGTGATGGTTTGGTAAGGTATTCTAGGTCCAATCAGGTGTCATGCTTTTTTTTCGTCTCCCTCCTGCTCATCATCTTCCCTCCCCCACCTTCTACGGCTGAAAATTACTAGCTACAACTACACAACAAGATAGTATTAGTATTCGTCGGTGCTAGGCAATAAAGAGGAATAAGAAGGAAAGAAAAGAAAAGAAGAGAAGAAAGAGATATGACAAAAAGAAACTAAAGCAACGTCAAAAATGATCAAATATAACCAGGCAGGTGCTCCTACCTTGGCAAGTCTCTCTCCTCTCCGCTTCGCCCAACCAAAGAGGTCGTGAAATAACACGCAGTGGAGCCCCAGGGCGGGAAGCTGCTGGCCGAAGATTTGTGAAAGCTTAGAAATCCAAGCCGCGGAGCTGGAACGTCGCTTCCTCGCGCTCGGCTTGTCGGGGGAAGGAGCAGGAGCGGTACGTCGTTGCAGGAAGGGACGACGGGGCTAGATGGGGCAAGAGAAGAAACTGGGCATTTGATGATTTGTATAAGGCAGTGGGATGTTGAATCTACGGTGGTTGTTGATGGTGTTGTTACTCTCATATGGGGGATAATTGCCGACTTCTCCTTACAAACTCCACCAAATTAAGACAAAGCCGACAACAGCTATGCCCAACCAAAGTACTTATTAATATGCTAGCACCACTGGCTATTTATGTCTCCTTGTCTTTGCGCAGAATCAGACGTAAACATGAAATATTAGTAATATTGCATGTCCAGCTTGCCCCCATGCCTCTCTACCCCTTGGACAAAACACATCCATCTCTCGGCTGGCGATGGCAACATGCCACGGATGCATTGCGTCATGTGCTCAAGGTGATGTCCTCGTAATATCATGTCAACCAGACAACCCTGCAGACGACGGCTCACAGTGACGAGGCCTTTGAATGCGGATTTCGTCCCCCGAGCAGGCTTGGCTGTGTGTTACACCATCGGCCAGGCTCATTGGGATTCCGAAGCCGAGGCGAAGAGTGAGAATGGGGAAAGCCGCGCTAGACGCCGCGAGGAGACACCACCACTTTCAGTCTGGATGATGGTACGATGTATGCAATCAGTTAATTTACAAGCGATGCAAGGGGGATTAGACACGCCCATCTAAGGAGTCCAACCTTGCACCTTGCTCTCCTTTCTCTGCCGTAGCAGTCGGAGAACAACGCACACCGAGCACACACCGTGGCTCACCTCACCGTCTCGTCTGCTCCGCTCCGCTCTGCACTGCACATCATGTCATGCCATGCCGATGCCATGCCGGCGTGGAGAAGCTGATCAAGCACGAGATCCTACTCAATCCTATGTCTGTTATCTCCGTAGCGCACCGGGTCTATGCGTATTCATTACCAAGAGGAATCCGATCCATGCACGGCTGCAAAGGCAGGGTTCGTACAGGACAGTCGGTACGAGTACATACATACACTCCGGGGCCCTGCCACAAACTCCGTACGGCTCGTGGGATGGCCCGGTGGGATCGGCCGCAACAGAATGGGCTTCGACTCTCATTATCGTTCCAATACTATTCCACAGGGTTTGATAAAGGCTGCATGTACACATGCATTACCCGTGATTGGCCCTGCAAGAAACGAAACCAACCAGGCATTGCCGCATATCTTGTCTTGCAACTCAAGGAATGCGGCAGTTCCTAGCCCTGTGCGAGCAAACTGGGTGCAACAACAAGTATGAAACTCTATCAGCCAAGTGTCTGCAGCTCTCCAACGCCCCAGTGTGCTGGACGGTGACAGCACCTTGCCAAATGGATAAAGGCAGAACGAGGCGGGTGTCAAGTCACGTCAATTGACTTTTGGTCCGCCCATTTTGCAACACGCACAACCAAGACTAAAGGGCGCAGGAAAAGGGCGAGAGCCAGGAGGGAGGGGCATCACAGTCGGTGGGCGATTTGGCTGGCTGTCGTGTTTGCTCTAGGGCGAGATTTGCGTCTGAGAATGGCTGTGACTGGCTCGGCCATGGAGCTTTGGGTGAGCCGTTTTGGCCATCGAAAACCCGGATCATGGGGGGTCTTTTTGACTTTTGGCCCGTTCTGGTCTAGATGGTGGCCGGAGAAGCAAATGGCACATTGGATAAAGATGGGAAAAGGTGGTGGCAGTGTGAATTATGCCAACCTTGATATCGATTCCTGCCTGCTGGTGCGTTACTCGGTATCAAACACTTAGAGTAACAGCCAGCCAACTTGCATGTCTCGAGTCGGCATGTTTACGAGTACAGTGGCAGTAGTATGTAGAAGGAGAACGGCGTCATGAAATGGAACGACGTCACTCGGCTTTGGTGACTGGACAAGCGGAGAGCGTGCCATTGATTACGTCATATTCAAACAAAGTGTCACCGAGGCTTGCTCACGACTTTGCCGATGACTGAGGCAACTGCTACAGTACGAGGGAGTTGAACTACTAGAGTAATCAATGCAGTGTGCCTTACAGTATGGATGTTTGTCATGTCCCGAGTGGATAGTCTAGGGATAGAGGCATGATGGGTGTTAAAACGCTCCGATCCAGTGGACACAAGGACCCTTGTGGGCACAGAGGGCCCCCATCTGTTTCAGTTTCAGAACAGAGGGTGACGGCATCGCAGCTTGATCTCGTCCGAGGTACTCGTTGCCCTGGTTTAATAGGCTGGTTACTTTGCTGTGCATAATGGTGCTCTGTAATGGTAATGGCTCTCTCTCTCTGTCATTGTATCCGGTTAAACACACTGAGCTCATGTGTCTCTCATCGATGGTAGCTGCATTTCCCGACGCTGGGAGTTGATCGCCGAACCCCTCTTTGTCGGCACCTATCAATGCATGAAATGAAACAAGAGTTGCATTTGCCGGACAAGTGCCACATTCTCAACACCTCTATCAAGTACCAATACTACAAGCACGAGATGCGTTCCATCTTAGTACTACTAAGGTAGAGACAGGTAATCGCTGGGTATAGTAGTTCCATGCGCAATGCTTCGTCACGCAGAGAATATTCAGCCCGCACTTTGGAGCCAGAAAAAAACCCACTGTTGGGCAGGTATCAGATGCAGCTGTTAGTCGTAGCTTGATGGGTAGCTCAGATTGGGTTAGTAGTGACACATTCCCGGGCTATGTATTATAAGCTACCCGGAGATGAACAATCTGCAGGAACAGTAGGAAGAGAGAAATAGCGATTGGAATAAAAAATAAATAAAGATAAAAATGGTACTGAATCAAATATATAAATAGGTACTTGAAATGACACTGTAAATGTCAATCTATCAACAGAGACGTCAATGCATTGGGCAGTAGCAGCACAGCGCATTTTTGGAGCACTGGAGCTACAGCTGCAGCTGCTTCAGCCACTGCCGAGCCAACCAAAACGCGGCCCAGAGGCCCATCGATCAACTGGATCACCTGCTCCTTGTCCTTGGCCTTGTCCCCTCTTGTGACAATTGACCGGTACCTTGTCCTTGTATGCAGCAAGACACCACTACCTGATACCCTTCAGGGACCGACTATTTTTATTTTTCTTATTCACGTCAATATTTCCCCCCTTCCTCCTCTTCTTCTTCCTCTTCTCCAACAAACTCCTGATTCTCTCTTTTTGACTCTTGTCCCTTCTTTCCCCCCTCCCTTCAACTCGACTCAACTGGCCCTTTGTTTCCCCCGCACCCGCCCCTCTTGACGCTCGACGCACAACGAAACTCGTCGACTTTTCCGAGGCGCCTAGAGCTGGACTGCCCTCGTTTGTTCTGTGCCAGTGCGACGACCGGTCTGAGGACAAGTTCGATCCGAATTACCTCTGCTTGACCTTTGACTCGAGTGACCATGAACCCTCACCAGAAGAACAAGGTCGACATCAATGTGAGAGCCATCCAATGATTGCCTGTCCCATGCTGTTCCGTTCCCTTTTACCCCTCCTCCGCGCGGTTGGGGTAAATTGTCAGGCAAAGATTAGATGGGAAGCCCATGATGCTGCTGGCAACTTTGACCGCCCCCCTTGTTGAGTCACACGAGCAATGCAAAGGAAAAAAATCATGTCTAGGCATTAGATTCGCATCGCTCCTCAAGGCCACGTGTTTTTGCTAACCCGCCAAATTGCGCCCTTTAGTCGCTCTCACCGGATGAGCAGCGTCTCTTCCGCCTCTACGGCAAGCTGCCCTCCCGATCCGACCACTTCGCCAAGCACCTCAAGGACCGCAAATACTTCGACTCGGGCGACTATGCCATGTCCAAGGCCGGCAAGGGCGACGGCGTGGACGCTGGCGCCGTAGGCTCGCAGCACCCCGTCCCCGAGAACATCCCCCACCTGACGTCTCCCACCAACGGCGGCCCCAACGCCCCCGGACACACTCACCGCGGTTCGATCCCAGGCATCCAGGCTGGCAGCCCCGTCAAGGAGGGCAGCTTCTTGAACAGAGAGACGTCGGCCGAGGGCCAGGTAACGCTCAGCGGCGACGAGAAGAAGGACCAGGATCAGCCAGCCGAGGGCGTCGAGGCCAAGCCTGTCGTCGCCGGACTTACCTCAGCGCCCATTGCTGCTGGAGAGGCCATGCCCCTTCGACAATAACCTCGCATGCATGGCCGGATTCGATATATACCCGCCGATGCGATGGGACTACATTGTAGTTATGGAGGCAATGAGATGTAAAAGGAATGCTTTTTATGGGGAGTTTTATCTGAAGGCGGCATGATAGGGGGCGCAGACGACGTGTGCCGTATCAAGCATGCATGGAATGAGATTTTCTCTCCACCCTTGTTTTCGTTCGTTCTGCTTTGCTTAAATTTCATGTACGAAAGATGCTTGTTGCGAGGAGAGAAGAGGGAGAGAGACTGACATGAAAGGATTGACTTGAAGTGGGATCGAGGAAAATTCTGTTGTTTGACGAGCCTTGGTTTCTTGCTTCAGTTCTTTTCTTCCTTTTGATTTTATCGGCGTTTACTAGGACTGGGCGGAAGGGAAATGTTCATTCATCAAATCTCGGGCGACATGAGTCTTGCGCAAGAAAAAAAAAAAGAAAACCCATAAACGAACAATTAACCCTCAAGTATCAATGGAACAAGCCATATCTTGGATCTGTTTCTTTTTTTTCTTCTTGTTTCTCTTCATGGTACTTTGCGTTTTATTTCTATGGTGTCTTAAGAATGGGCAAGGAGAGAGGCGAGAGACTGGTGTATGTTGTGTGATGTCTCTTCTTTTGGTGTTTTCTGTTCTTTGACGATGTTTCTCTTCGCTTTACCTTGTCTACCTATCCCAATTTTTGGTTTGTGCTTGCATTGCTTTGCGAGTCTGAGATGTGAGGTAGTTGAACTGTTGCTGCATTGTTTTCCACTGGCCGATGGTTGTATGTACTTGATATTCACGTATTTCCTACATCTAGGTACCTGTGTGTATAACATACCTCTAGTACTTATTCAGATTTTATGTGTGTGTCCGCTGTGTGTTGATGTGGAATATTGATTTGATGGCGCTATATCTAGATAATTCGCCGGTTGTGTTGCAGATTGGTTAAATAAACAAGGGCTGTTGATGCCTGACCAATACAAGATGAATATTCTATATTCTTGTACTTACATACCTGATGAGGCACAATCCGACAAGTATCAGCACCACGTAGAGCAAAGCACAACAGCCCGTGAATATACCAACATGAGCTGCAATAGAGGGGCAGCCTCGTCCCTTCAGCGGGGTACCACAGCGGGGATGCCCCTCCCCCAATTGGCCCAATCCCTCATCAGCCTCGCCCAAAATTTACGCCCAAAACCATCATCTCCAAAACCTTTTCCTTCTTCTTCTGCCTTGCCCTCCAAACATCCCCCAAAACATCCCTCCATAGGTTCATGTTCCGTCGCCTACTCACTACAATGGCCGAATCCGCTCCCAAGAGACTCAAGACAGACGTCCTGGTCGGCACGCACAACGGCCACTTCCACGCCGACGAGGCCCTCGCCGTGCACATGCTGCGCATGCTGCCCTCGTACCGCGACAGCGCCCTCGTGCGCACGCGCGACCCCAAGACGCTCGAGACGTGCCACACCGTCGTTGATGTTGGCGGCGAGTACGATGCTCAGCGAAACCGCTACGACCACCACCAGCGCGGCTTCGACACCACGTTTCCGGGGAAGAACACCAAGCTGTCGTCGGCGGGGCTCGTCTACATGCACTTTGGCCGCCAGCTCATTGCCCAGAGCTTGAAGACGGACGACGAGGCTGGGCCGGACGTTGACCTGCTGTACAACAAAATCTACGAAAACTTCATCGAGGCCGTCGACGCCCACGACAACGGCATCTCGCGCTACGACAGGGACGCCCTCGCCGCCGCCGGCATCGAGCAGCGCTTCAGCTCCGGCGGCTTCACCCTCGGCGCCATGGTCGGCCGCCTCAACCCGGCCTGGAACGACCCCAAGCCCGCCGACCCCCAGGCCGCCCAGCAGGCCGAGGACGAGCTCTTCCTCAAGGCCAGCGCCCGCATCGGCGACGAGTTCGAGCGCACCCTCGACTTCATGACCAAGGCCTGGCTGCCCGCCCGCTCCATCGTCCAGGCCGCCTTTGACCAGCGCCTCAAGCACGACCCGGAGGGCCGCATCCTCGTCCTCGAGGGCCAGAGCGTCCCCTGGAAGGAGCACCTCTACAGCCTCGAGGGCGAGGGCAACCCCTCGGTGCTCTACGTCCTCTACGCCGAGAGCACCGCGCCCGGCGCAAAGTGGCGCATCCAGTGCGTGCCCGAGACCCAGGACTCGTTTACCAGCAGGAAGCCCCTGCCCGAGGCATGGCGCGGCTTCCGCGACGCTGAGCTGGACGGCGTGGCGGGCGTTGACGGCTGCGTGTTTGTTCATGCCGCTGGCTTCATTGGCGGTAACAAGACGTTCGAGGGTGCCATGGAGATGGCTACCAAGGCGTTGGCGCTGTAAATAAAAAAAGGGATTTTGGAAAGGATATAAAACAAGGATAGGATTGGACTTAACGACGTTAATGACGAGAAAAAAAGCATCACATCATACCCAAAACGGATCCCAAAATATGCCAACTTTGCTTAGATTTATTTGCCTTGGCCAGCTGGCTACTTTGAAAAAAAAAAAAACAGAAAGAAGAAGAACAGAAAAAGAAAAAAAAAAACAGTGATATATCGCGATGCATTTCCTTGCCTAAAACGCCGGCCGCTCCAATTCTTCCAGCTATTGTCATCAGTCAGGGGTTTTTGAACCGTTCCGCTTCTATCCAGCGCACTCAGTCCGTTTTGCGTTGATCATGATCTGTTATGGCGCCCGTTTCCCACCTTCATGCCATTCGCCTATCTGCCTCAGCAGACGTGGCCTTTTCACCATTGTCCGGGTTCAAGTAGTCTGCGTCCTCTGCGGCCTCGTACTCCTGTATCAGGTCAGATACTACCTGCCTTGCCTCGTCAAACTCGTCTAGGTTTTCCGAAAAGGGCGCCGTCTTCTTGTAGCCCTCGATAAAGGCATTGCGCTTGCGCATGCCGTCGTACTGTTTTAATATTCTCTTGAAGAGCTACACCAACATTTGTCAGCAACCGTGGGAAAGCTCCTAGAAACAGACAAAAGAAAGGGGGTAATGTCTAGAGCGACGAACCGTAGCAATGCTCGTGTGATTTGCCAGCATCAAACCGCTCACGCGATGGCTCATGGGCATATATGGACTCCTCTTTGTCAGCGCCACCTGGATACTGGCGGGTCCCCACGGGATGAATGTGGCCAGCTTGCGCTCTCGGATACGCAGCAAACTCTTGTGCACGTCTGTCGGATCAACCTCTCCCTGAATAACGTTCAAGATGGAAATGTAACAGCTCTTCTTGCCAGGCACCGTGGACACCATGCGGTTCTTTGGCTGTAGCAGTCGCCTCATCACGTCTAGAACCGTCGTCTTGCGGACTGTCTTGGCCTGCTCAACCTGGTCGCCGGTGAACGGTGTGTAGGCCGTCATGAGGAAGTGGCATCGCGGCGTCGGTATCAACGAAGCCAAAATGCTAACGAGATCGTTGTGCATGTACCCAGGGTAACGGAGAGTAGTGGTACTCGCAGACATGACAGTTGCGACCTGTATGCAACCCACAACGTTTAGCCATTCATTCTCCATAAAACGAGTAAAGCATCATCTATAATGCCGCTACTTACCAGCTGGTTCGTCTGCTGAAACGAAGGCTCTTGAACGTGCAGTCTATCTGCTGCAATGTGTGATAGCGCGCCGTTGTCAAGGACAACAACCGAGTCGGCATTCTGTGTCAGTCTCCGCATGGACAGAATGCTGTTATAAGGGTGCACCACGACATCCGGGGCGTTTGTTGTGTTGGGAAAGACGGAGTATGTCTGTATAATCTTCTTGGGAAACCGATCGTTAAGCCGCTCAAGGAGGAACGACCCCAGACCTGAGCCAGTACCTCCGGCAATCGAGTGCAGCATCATGAAGCCCTGCGTAGATCATACCGTTCCAATTAGTATACGATGGACAACTGGGGAATGGTCAAAGATGTGCTCACCTCCAGCGAGTCGCTGCCATCCGCCTCTCGGTCAATCATCTCCATGACATCCTCGTAAACCGCCTCACCGCTCTGATATCCATCACCCCAGTTATTCGCCGCGCCCATTCCATTCTTCCCCACGTAAAAGTTTTCCGGGTTGTAAATGTTTCGATACGGGCCCGTCTGGATGCTGTTCAACACCTGCAAACAAAAAACCACATATATTAGTACTTTTGCTCCCATCCCAGTATTGATGTAGCGCGAAGATATAGAGAAGGAGACAGGGCAAACATACTCGGGGTTCTAAATCAATCAGAATCGCCCTGGGGATATATCGCGTATCGTCGCTCTGGTAGTAAAACACATCCTTGCGATCGCCGCCCTCCGTCGCAAAGTCCTCCAGGTTGCCATCCTGGCTAATTCCATGCTCCTGGCAAAGCTGCTGCCAGAACTGACTTCCAACTATACAAGAGAAAAGGGAGCAAAAACCCCCCAGCGGTCAGTAAAAAGTAAACATCAACAACTGCCACTCCGTCGCATTTCCCCCAAAAATTACACCCCGCAATACGTAAACAAACAAACGAAAAGAGGGAGGCCGAGAAGCGCATGACACTCACTGCTGTTGCCGCATTGTCCAGCTTGGATGGTGATGATCTCGCTAAGATGAGAAATACGTCAGCGCAGTTCATCAATCGCCATGTTTTTCTCCCGGGATATTCAAAAGCCGTACCGTGGCATCGCTGTGGGCGTTGGGCTGCAAGCTCTCGACGGGAGCTGGTGGTGTACGAGGTTTAGTTGCGGTTATGGCAGAGCCAGCGAGCTTGCAGACGCGCCACGCGCACTTGGACTGCGCTCAAAGTTACCGCTATCGATAGCGACTCCCCGCCCCCCCCCCACCCCACAGGCGAGAGGGAGCTGTTCTACGAGTACACGGGACTCTACCTAGGTCCGCTACAATTTCTCAAGGAATGGAAGAGGTAGTATTTACATCGTCGTGAAGAACAATACGACACAGATTCTTCATCGTAAAAATTCATCACAGGTTTTTTTTGTGTAAGTATTGCATTGCAAACGCTCGACTTTTTGGTACTTCTTCTATAGAAGCCCTTTCGTCTCTTCAACCAGCACAGCACCACACCCAAATTAAAGTACAGAAATGTTATTACAGAACCATGATGATAAGGGGCAGGGGAAATCATCACAATCAATAAGGCTTGATTGCTCCTTGGGATATATAGAGCTTCATTCTTTCATAGAACCCAGCCGAAAAAATCAAAACCAAACTGCATCCAGCTTTAATGCTTTCTAACGCCCGCAATGCTAAAAGGAACAGACCCCACGAGCTCCCCCATCCCTCCATTTCTTGATGAACGGCCCGGTCGTAAAATACATGATGCTCCTCCACATTATTTCTTGTTTAACGCCTTGTGCGTCTCCAACGATTCAGCCAGCGCCTTGGCCATGTCTTTTGTCTTCACCTGGATCATCCAGGTCTCGAGGCCGTCACCGGTGTCATTCGACGTAGTCATTTTCACATACTTCTCATCCGCCTTGTACGATAGATCTGGCAGTACAGAGCGGTTCATCACGACGTTGCCTCTGGGCTCTGCTCGCAAGAGCAAACGCACGGTGTTGGTTTCCTTGTGCTTCAACAGGCGCAGGGATCCAACACCCTTGGTTGCCCAGGGACTCTTGGACTTCTTCTCTTCGCTTTCAGACGTCTCCCCGGCGGGGACAAACTTCAGCACCTTTGCGCGAACCTCGTGTAGGACTTCTTCATCCTTCTCAACACCTTCTGTCAGGCTGATCTGCTCATGCTTCTCGCCCTCTTCGTCGTTTTCAGCAGCAGCGCTGGTGTTCATCTTCAGTTGGGCCGATGGTTCCGGCGTCCCGCCAGCTGGTGTGGTTGCCAAGCTAGAGCCTCCCCCGAGGTTGAATGGAGAGTCTAGACCCGACGCTTTAGCGGGGCGATTTTCCGGTGCGGAAAAGGTGACTTACTTGTCCCGGTGGTCGAGGATCCACCAGCTGGCGGTGCGAGGTTGAACCCGGTGGAAGGCTGGCTCGCTCCAAAGGAGAACATGGAAGTCGATGGTTGACTTGAAGGCCCCGTGGCAGTGAAAGACGGCACGCTGGGAGTTGTGGCCGAGGCGCCGCCAAATAGAGGCGTTGATGTTTGAGAGGGCTGACTTCCGGTGCCGTTGCCAAACTGGAACAATCCAGAGCCTCCAGAGCTACCAGATCCACCTCCTGGCTGAGCGGCAGAACCAAAGGAGAACGCGGGCGCGGGAGCTGATGCCGGAGCCGGGGCTCCACCAGTGTTGCCAGATGAGAAAGGGTTGTTGAAGCTGCCCGTAGAGGCGGGTGCTGCTCCGGATCCAAAGTTGAAGTTGAAGCTGCCACCGTTGCTGTCTCCAGAGCCCGATTGGGCACTTGAGGGAGCAGCGCCAAAGAGAGGAGCCGGAGCAGGGGCAGAGGGCGCTGGGTTACCAAACAAGTTTGATGAACCCGAGCTTGCGCCAGTTGAACCAAAGCTGAACACCGGAGGAGGGGCCGAAGTATCGGTGCCGAGACCAAACTGTTTCTTAGCCGGCGACGCCGCATCCTGCTTCATCGGGCTTCCAGCAAACAAACTGGAAGATGCAGCGGGAGGGGACTTTGGAGCACCAAACAGAGACTTGGCAGCGGCTTGAGAGGTTTCAGTGGGTTTGGGGCCTGCGGACGTGCCAAAGCTGAACAGAGGCGCAGACGCGGGTTGGGTTGCGGCAGAGGGGGAAGGATCCTTCTTAGATGCCACAGAGCTCGAGGCGCCGAAAAGAGAAGTTGCTGGAGCCGATGAAGCAGCGCCAAACAAGCTGGTGGTAGAGGCGGGAGCGGGCGTTGACTGTTCAGGCTCAGAAGTGAAACTGGAATTGTTGGATCCAAACAGGTTGGATGATGTAGATGCGGGAGCTGCAGTACCAAACAAGTTGGTCGAAACAGCGGGAGTGGTCGTTGCAGGAGGAGCTGAAGACGCAGTGCCAAAGAGGCTGGTAGCGGGAGCGGGAGCAGACGCCGCTGCTGGCTTGATGCCAAAGAGAGCTGCAGATGCGCCGGTCAGGGGAGTCGCACTTGTGTCGGAGGTACCAAACAGGCCGTTGCCCTTGGGCTTCTCACTCTCCTTCTTGGGAGCAAAGAGAGCTGAAGTAGGCGCCGAAGGGATTGAAGTCTTGACATCACCAAACAGCTTGGAGGTTGCATCCGAGTTTCCAATGGCGCCAAAGAGACTGGTAGTGGTAGCTGCGGGCTTGGCCGGTTCGGCCGCTGCGGGTTTAAAACCAAACAGTGGCGCGGCGGTGGTGCTGGGTAGAGCAGCCACCTTGGGTTCAGAAAACAGCTTCTTGGCAGGCTGGGAGTCGTTTTCCTTATCAGACTCTCCGCCAGTCACGTCAGTCTCTGAAACGGGAGTGTTGGCCTTGGAGCTCTGGTCTTGCTTAGACACGCCGAAGATGTTGGATGGTGCGGTGCTCTTGGGTGCGAAGATGGAGCCAACGGGAGCAGAAGTTGGTTTACCGAAGAGCGAGCCGTTCTGAGAAGTAGTAGGAGGAGCAGGAGGAGCAAACTTGAGGGGAGTGCTGGTGGGATTCCAGGTCTGGTTCAAGGATGATGCTGGGGGCTTGGCGATGACCTCCTCTACGTTCTCATCAGCCCGAATGGGCTGTCCATCTTGACCCTTGGTAATGCGTTCGAACAGGCTGCGTCCCGGAGTGCTCTCTCGGGTACCTGCAGCACTGGAGACGCCAGTGCCAAAGGTGGTTGACGGCTTAGTGGTAAACAGGTTAGATCCAGCCTGAGGCGAAGCGTCACCAGCGCCGCTAGGTTCGTCGCTCTGACCAGCCTCCTGGCTTTCTTCGATTTCTTCCTCGTTGTCAGACTCGCTTTCGCTCTCAGCATCAGCCTCGATTCCGCTGTTCTTGGCAGAGCTAGCATCGGAAAGGTAGCCAAAGATGTTGCCGTTGCTAACGCCGTTGGCCGGGGGCTTCAAGCTGGTGAAGACTGAGCGAGAGAGTCTGCCGTTGGCGGCATTCTTCTCGGCTGCCTTAACGGGGACAGGGCTTGCAGCCGGCTTGTTGGCAATCTTCTCAAAGAGCGACTTGGCGGAAGAAGAAGGAGTCTTTTGCAGCTTGGCTGGTGACTCTTCAGTGACTGTAGCTTTTCTCTTGTTCTTAATAGGAGCTGGTGTAGCGGCAGTAGGCTCGTCTTCTTCATCTCTGACGGTAGCCCTTCGCTTGACCGCCGAGGCCACATTCTCAGTAGCATCAACAGTCTCCTTGGACAAGTCATCATCAGCCTTGCGCTTCTTGGCAGTCGCTGGCTTGCTTGGGGTGCCATCCAGAGCCTCCTCATCTGCCTCTTCCACGGGATCGGGCAAGCCATGCTCTCGTCGCCATCTCTTAAGAACTTCCTTTGATGGCTTAACGCTCTGGAACTCGTAAAGTCCATATCGCAGCAGGATAATGGACCGACTCTTTTCGAACTCCTTGGCAAAGTTCATAATGTTGAGCTTCCAGCTCTTCTTGGTGAAGATCTCGTTGGCGGCATATTTCAGTCGACGAAGATCGAGAATGCAGAAGAACTGGCGGCGCTGCTCGTCATCGAGGTTTGGAGGGCAGAGATGAGCCAAGAACTGATCGGCGTAGATGGATCCCTTAGAATTCCAGTCCTTTGGAACCTTGTTCGCCAGGACTTCGCCCGTCAGCTCTGGAGGAGGCGATGAGATTCGCATGTTGAACAGCTCCTTGTCTGAGGAGTTAGCAGCCAAGCCGCGCGGCGTCGCGCGAGCAGTGTTCTCGCGATAAACGCGATTCGACATGGGCGTCACGCCAGGAGCAAAAACCTTCTTCATCGTGCTCTGCGGGAGATTGGGAGAGAAGGCGGTGCTTGTCGGAGGGCTCTCGACGGCGGTTGACCTGAAGAGGTTGTTGCGTGACGAGGACACAGGATCCTGGCTCATCGCCTCATCGCGCGTAATCAGCAGCTTGCGCGATGAAGCCGCAGACGTCGACAGGCGCTTGGAATAGGGCGTCGCGACGTAGGTGCGCTTCGCAAAGGGCAGAGGAGGACGTGACTTGGGAGTGCCGTTGGCAACATCCGCGCCGTCGTATTCGCCGGGGAGGGCGAAGGTCACCATGGCGGCGACAGTAGAGAAGACGATAGAGGGGAGGAGAAGATGGAAAAAAGATGACAAGGTGGAGTAGTAATTAGCGACGAGGCGCGATGGTGATATATGTGCTGCGTCGCGTCAGGGTAGGTGGATGAAAACGGCTAAGGGGACAGAAGCGGTAGTCCACAGAGCAGAAGTGGGAGGCGAAAAAAAAAATGGAAAGAAAAAAAAATAACACGCCGTCAAAGGGCCAAGCACTCGCAGCGAGCACAAAGGCGATTCACCGCAAGAAAAAGAGAGAGAGAGAGCGGGAAACGGAACAAATAAAATCAGGGGCTCGTCAACTGTCGTCGCGATGCAGCGCTGATGCAGTTGGTGGCATCCAGCCCTGGCCGTTGCTGAGAGTTGACACGACAACCCGCGACGGTGTTTGAAAGAGTCGAGTCGAGTCGAGTGATGGCCCGCAGCTTGTTTTGGCGGCACCTGCGCAGAGGGAAGAAAAAAACGAGGGACGGAGCAGCGCGGCAAGGGGTGATACCTTAGGTTATAGGGAAGAATAGCGGCAGGACAGGGATTGAGGGAGCAGGTTTGGGGGGGTCCGCTTTTTCTCTGCGCCCCTCCCTCCGCTCCAGGTTATGGTCATGTATGCCTGGTTCGGCCTGAGGCGAGAAGAATGGAACAGAGGTACTCGTACGGAGGAGGCGATGGAGGCCTTGGCAGCCTTAGGTAAGCCGGCGCCTCCAGCTGTCTTCCACTGGAAGCTGTCAGTTGATGCTGCTGCTGCTGCACGCAGGTGATCCGGTGACTGCCGCGGCCGAGGTCACTGCTACCGCGGCGCTACCAACCAGGCCAAGGCACCACACCATCGCCGCCGCACCTCTCGGGCGTGCCTTTGCCCATTTAACGTCACCATGTCAGAATTTTCTTGCTCACACATCGCGGCTCCAGCCAATCAAGCCGCCCGACTGCAAAGACGGAGCACAAGTACTCATCTGGTACCCCGTACCGAGCACCACCCACCCAGCTGTGAAAAAGGAAGAAAAAAACAGAAAAAAACAGGCAAAGACGCCTAACAAGGGCGACCTCACATCACGAGAGGGCGCAGGAGCAGAAGCCAAGACAAACAAAGGAAAAAGGAAAGGGGAAAAAAGGAAAGAAAAAACAGAGAGAAAAGAAAAGTAAACCAATACTGGTAGTTAACAATAACAGTCAATAATAGCGTCCTATTCCTAATCAAATCCTACAATTACTTAGATAGAAATCAAACGAGAGTGGTGCCAGACTCGTCCCGCAGGCCTACAGAACCAGGAGTTCAGGGCAAGGCGACTACCAGCGAAAATGAATCCCGAATAAGACGGGGTGGAGAAAAGTACAGTACTGTGGCCCATTTGGTAGGGAAGAAAGGAAAAAAGAAACGCACGCCAAAGATCCCAGATTTCCGTTACAAAATTTCTTGCTCATAAAAAAAAACCATCCCCTACTTGCTGTTCTTGCGATCCTCGAGATATTCTTCATCAGAGGCATCCAAGATGTCATACTCTTCGTCGGTCATGAAGCCATCGTCGGATCCATCCCACTCGTACTCCTCGCCACTGGCAGTCTGAGCATCGGTCTCGGGAGCTCCAGAGACGGACTCGGTCTGGATCTCTCCGTGAATGCTAGAGTGAGGTGACTCCTTGTCAAGCTTAGGGAAGATCATGACGCTGCCGGTCTGGGCATCTTCTTCCTTCTTGGGCTCCTCGACCATGGTCACAGGTAGGACCTCGGGCGGCGGCATGCGCACGCTGACGTCGCACCAGAGGCGGTGGCCGAACTTGAATCCCTCAGGAGTAGTCAGACGCCAGTAGGAGATGATCTGACCAGCGCGGGCGGGAGTGCGCAGCAGCACGGTGAAGGGGAACTCGCTGCCGGGGGCAAGCGGGGCGTAGCAGACCGTCGACTCCGATGCCGACACAAGCTCTGAGATGCCAGCGGGGTGGGCAGAGTCAACATGGCCCATGTAGTCGCCGCCAACAAACTTGACGGAGCATCCAGCAGGCCAGGTAGCGGTACCCTCATTGCGAAGCACCCATGTCTGCTCAAAGACGTGGTTGGGCGGCATGATTGTGCCGTCAGAGACGGAGTCGCGAATGAAGACGGCCCGGAGGTCGTGCTCATTGACTGATGGAGCGGGCTCAACAGCCTTTTCCTCCTCAACCTCCTCCTTGATCTCGGGGGTAGGCTCCTGCTTGACCTCGACCATCTTGATCCCAGCCTCAGCCTCGGGCTCTTGCTTAACCTCGATCTCTTCAGTCTCGGGCTCAGACTTGACATCAACAACGGTTGACTCGGGAATGACGGCCTGGATAGGACTCAAGGTCGGAACCTCGGAAGGCTTGGAGACATTCTTGGCGCGGTCGCCCATAGGAGGCATGCGCTTTCCATCCTGGTGCTCGCCAGTGGTGGTAACACTGACATGGCGAACAGGTGTCTTGAACTTGATGAGAGGGTGGGTCTTGTTGTGCTCATTGGCAGGGTTGGCCTCGCAGCTTGCGCAGAAATCAAGGTCGTGGCAGACTGCGCACTTGTAGCGCACGCCTCTGATGTAAGTAGGATAGCCCTGAGTGTTGGAGCACAGGGGCCCATCACAGCAGATACCCATGTGCACCGGCTGAGCAGCCGCACAGGCGTGGAGGTCTGCAAGAGGCTCATAGATGGGCGCGAAGCGGTGGTTGGCATGGACAAACGCAGCGTTGGGAATGCAGTCGGAGCAGTAATCCCAGTCTGGGCAGTCAAGGCACTTGTGGCGGACACCGGTGATGTACTTGTCACAGCCGTCACAGATGGCGTGGTGCGCCTGGTTGCGGCCAGCGCCCATTCTCACAGTGATGTGATCTGGCATCTTGGTGCCTGCAACAGCAGGAACAAAGGGATGGCTGGGGTGGTGGCCGTGGCCATCCTTGGCGAAGCATGCTTGGCAGAGATCGAAGTCCTCACAAGTCGCGCAGTGGAGGAACTCCCATTCAGGAAGCTCTGTACATCGTTAATTAGTTTGGCATGTTTCATGAATGCAGGGAGATTCGTCCAGACATACCTTGAACACAGCAGTTGCATGTTCGCATGGTGCCCATGCAGGACCACCTGGAAGATGGAGCGGCCACGAACGGAGCGAGAGGAGTAACGAAGAAGGGACTGGCATTGACAAATTCCAACGGCTGCTGAAGGGTAGGTTGCTCAGAGGCCTTCTTCTTCTCCTTCTTCACCTTCTTCTCCTTCTCGGGATTCTCAATTGATGGGATAATAGAGGCCTCCTGAGCGGGGCTCTCGGTCTGCTTCTTGGCTTGGGCCTTGGGCTCAATTTTTTCGGTGCTGCTGGCAACGAGCTGGCCGTCAACCATCGTCCGCTTGATGAGCCAGTGGTTGTCGTCATAGCAGCTGACGGCCTGGTCAACGCAAGCTTGGCAGAGATCGAAGTCGCCGTCATCGCAGGTCTGGCAGTGGTAGTGGACGTCTGAAACAGTCTTTTCACAGTTGTTGCAGCAGACGGCAAATGGGGCGGGAGCAATGACATGATGCGACTGCGTGGCGGGAGCACAGTAGTCCTCGAACGAAGAGTATATTGACTGAGGGTCGAAAGGAGCAGACTGAGCGAAGTTTGCCGGTAGCTGCTGAGCAACGGGCTCCTCAGTCTCCTCAACCTTGGCCACCTCGGGTGTGTCGAGCTGGATAGACGAAGAGGTGCGAAGAGGCAATTCAACTCCGGAGAGCAGGGTGATTGAAGACGGGGCCGCAGACGGCACCGACATCTCCGTAGCAGGCTCGGCCGTTGACGATGATTCGTCACTCTCGGTAGGGGTAATCTTTTCGGTGGACTCGTAGGTCTCTGCTACGGACGCTTCGGGTTCGTCCTCCACTGTGACCGGCTTTGGTGCAGTCTTTGGCTGCAGCTCGGGAACAAAAACGCGCAGTTTCAACTTTGACTTGGCTTTGGCGGCTCTGTACAGTTGCTTGTAGACCGGCAGGTTGTTGGAGTCGAGAACAACAAAGTTGCCAGCCGAGTCGGAGTAGCGTTCGATGATGACCTGGGTCTCAAGTGGAATGTGGAGGAAGTGTCGGACCTGAACATGAGTGTCAACATCTGTCAGAAAGTCTCCGTGGGATTCAAATGAGGCGCCTGATGTACGGCATGGATGCGTCGTCGAAAAATTGACGACGATTGGGGAAGAAGAAACGATGAAAGTTTGATGGAAGCACGTACGTTGGCTTCGAGAATCTGAGGCACCATGTCGCGCAGCGGCATCTTGACGCGGCGAGTGGTATTCTCGAAGGTCACCTTGAGGGTGACCATGGTCTCAGGGACAAGCTGGGGGGCGGAAGCCATGATGGGCAGCCTGTCGTGATGAACGATGCCGTGTTAGCAAGGTGCAGCACAATTAGGACAGTGACGAAGCGGTGGGCGACCGGGAGAGCGAACTCACGCGATAACAACTTTCCCCCGTTGGCCGATGCTATCGAGAGCTGGCTGCTCGGTATATAAACACGGGCGATGAAGGACAGATGGCAATATTTGAGGCAGTGTGAGGCGATGTGATGCTTTTTGTGTGGAGAAGGAAAATGGGAGATGATTGAAGAGGAGAGAAAGAAGAGGAGAGATGACGATTGCGTGGTTGGGAAGAGAAGCTCCAGGCTGACTGGGGTTGGTACTAAGGCGAGCCGGAAACTGGAGAGTTTGGCGCAAAGTACCAGATACCTGCGGCAGGTACTTTGCGGCTACATGACTGTGAAGTGACGCAGACCCGGCTCTGGCTCTGGCACTGGCTCTGGCACACCGACAGGGAGGCGATGAGGCAACACTGATTTGACCATTTGGCGGTGGGGCCCACGGCGAGTCACGGCGAATGCACAGCGACCCGGAGCACTCAGCCAGCGTCGCAGCCACTGAGCGCTCAGGTACCGCGACGGTAGTAGGTACAGTACCCGCAGGCATCTGAGGTGCAGCAGCACTGAGCGCTGGTGCAGCGGGTGCTCAGTGGGCCAGGACAGTGGATGTGAACTAGCTCCAGGACGGCACAGTGCGGGCAGCGACAAGTGCGGAGAAGGTCGGCGCGTAAGCCGCAGCGCACACACGGTGCATTACGCACCTGGATTTACTGTCTGCGCCCTGGAGGGTTCAATGGCGGAATGAATCCCTGCCCTGCCCCGAGCTGGGGGGACTGCCAGAGGTGGGTTCATGGCGGCCAATGGCAACACGGGGCGAAGGGTATTCCAGCACCAAGGCGGTCAAGCGCAGATTGCACGATGCACGATAACGCCAGGAAGAAGAAGGGCAGCCGGTGAAATGAAGCCTGTGCTGTCTCAGAGCGCTGCATCACATGTGTGCCGCCTTTGGGGGGGGGGGGGGGGGGCTCGCATCCTTTGACCTCTCTGGCTCTGGTATCAAAATCAAAACAAAACCAGTGGCTGTCATTTGCGGCAAACCTTCATGTTGGGTAACATGAGAGGGAGACAAAGGCGGCTTCAGCCTACGGTATCCTCGGCTCATACATTCCCAAGCCCCGAGCTATGTACATACTACAAGAACGAGCACGCAGGCTGCCACTGGGACCGACAGCAGGCAACTCAAAATCTCATGGGACTAGCCAGACATCAAAGTCTCGCATCATGGGACTAGCCGAGCTCACTACGGCCGTGCTTGTTGGCCACTGCCAGAGGCCAGAGCCAGAGCCAATGGCGCTGCCACTGCAAGCTTAGCTGGCTCCGGATGCCTGGACGGCTCGCCACTCCCACAAGCAATTGGCTGCGGATGAGGCGAGGAGACGCGACACAGAAAACGCCCAGGCTGCAGAGGAGCCACGCCAGCTTCTCTCCCTCGTCCCGTCCATCCACACTGTCCTGGTACTCGATACTCGAGCATCCCTTGCATTTGCCTTGCCTTGCCTTGGCGACCGACCCCTCTCAGGCGACGGCGACTACGTGGAACTATTACTAGCCAGCTGCCACCATCCCAAAGACAGCGCTGCGGGATAAGGTTGTGTTAGCGATGCCGGTCCCGGTTTCAGGGCTTGCCGATTCGTGCTCGATCGGCCGCCACGGCACCTTCGCAGGCAGGCAGAGCTTGTGCAAAGGCCGATTACGACACACTCGGGGGGCCTCTGGGCTTGCAGCTCGCTCGGGAGAACAAGAGCAAGATCCCATGGTACGGCGTCGTGGCGGCCGAGATTGCCTGACGCTGCAAAAGTCAAAGCAAGAATGTGGCAAGGCAAACAAAACACCACAAACTGCAGCTATCCCGAGACCCGATGCTACTACTGTACGTGCCTTGTTCGGTGAGCTCTGTCTGGTCAGGTACCTCCACTGCCTGCTCAAGTACCCGATACTTGGGGTGCTCTGCTCTTACATTCGAGGATAACACCCGACTACTAATACTACTAGATACTACTAAGTAGTAATAATGGCCGGGCCTGTCGCCATAGCGCGATACGAGTACGTGAAGCAATTGGATCGATGCGACCTCTGCTTGTCTGGCTCCGCTCGGTGCGCGTGATGTGCCGAATGCGGCAACATATCGTGTCACCGAGCCGAGCATGTCGGAGCATCCCAAACAGGCTCCAGCATTGATTGGTGGTCATTGGGAGGGACACGACAGGCCGTGGATTGCACAGACGAGCAGCTGTCGATGGATTACTCTCTCAGCACAAAAAGACCAGACTCGACTGCATAATCCCATGGGCAAAACAGGCTCCAATTCACACGGGCCGAGAGGGAAGCCACATCCACCCATCACCGGCGTTGTTGGTGAGGGAGAGACGTCTGAGTTACACCCAAGGTTTCCATGGCTTCAACACAATGTCTCACTTTTAGCCTTTGAGGCCAAGCATCAATGCGGTACGTGAGATTGCTAGCTCGATGCGCAGCCTGAAGCTTGGTGCCGCTGCCTCTCTCTCTCTCTGTCTCTCTCTTCTTCTTCTTTTTGCTTCTTTTACATACCTGGTACTCATGCCGCAACTGCATCCCTTGCATTGTCATCACCATTCGTAGAGATCTTAGTGGACGCCTATTACGCTCCCTTGCGTCCTGCTCTCCCTGTCTGTCAGCAGGCTCTTTGCTTAGGTACATAGCACCCCGAAGTGCATCCATCCTCATAGGTAGATGGGAAGAAGCTTCTACTTTGGCTTGTATACTTGACTTAGCCCCGGCATTCATCGGGTGAGAGAGAGAGGCGGGTCGAAGAAAGATTGCATTGATGCCCATTGTACATACGTGCTCCGTAGGTATAATCCAAGCGCAGGCTGCTATTTCTCGGGGCTAGATTCGACCTACTCTCCAACCGTGTCCTTAACAATCACATAAAGCAAGTAGAGGCCTTGTAGGACCCTGAAAACCCCTCTATCTTCTAGGCGCTAGGTATACAGCAAGGCATAATCACGCGATGAAACTTTTAGAGAAACAGCCCTCCATATTCCAGCCCACGGACCGTCCGGGAGGGCTCCAATTGTAGGATCCATTGATATCGAGTCCGCCTTGCAAACCTGACAGCGTAAAAAATTCCACCTTCTCGAAATCTCAACCACAGCCGCATTTGCCCAAAGGAAAAAAGAAGGAAAGGAAAGAGAAGCAAAGAGAAGTATTGCTCGTTGACTTCTCGGTCTACGTCGGCATTCACGCAAGAGCTTGCATACCGGTGGACGGGGTACAAAAGCGTGAGAAAAGCAAGCCAAAGATATTCATTAAAACCTACTATCCCGGCCGATGTTATAAGTTATCGGTGAAAAGAATCAATAAAAGGCAAGGGGCTTTCTGCCTTGTTATAGAGCTCAAATAGCTTAAGTTCTGATCAAACCTCAACGTATACTTCCATGTCCTTCCGTCGCAATCCCAACTTACCTATACCCCAAGCATTCACTTCAGAATACCTATAAAACGAAACCCATTCATCCAACTCGGCAAAATCTAAATACTTCGTTCCTTTATAATCCTTTATTACACTGCACCTACAGTACTTCTCATAGGTAGTCCCTTCATTTCGTTCATCTACCTTCTTCCGCTTAACTTTTACCCCCAGCAAATCGGGGCTACCCTGATTGCATTTTCGGCAAGCTGCGCCTATCACGGCGAGGGGCGTCAGCACATCTCGGAGCTCTTGGGGATGACGATACAGAAGGAAATAGAGTGTTGGTCAAAATAGTAGAGGAAATGTAACCTGAAATGAGAGACCAGCTGTTCCTCCAAATATGCAAGAAAGATGCGCAATCACATGAAAGACGCACAGGTATCTACCTAGGTGGCTCAAATCCATAACCACCCAAGTACCCACGGGATTGTATAAATGGCCTTGGTATTAAAAAGAACCTCTTATGTAGCTCAAGCTATCTCTACACAGCCGAGATGGTTTAAGCCAACTAAGAACTTGATTTAACACTTGAGGTTATCAGCTACTTGCATAGCTTCTACGTTATAGCACCGACCGGCGTTCAAAGCGCACCATTCACTCATTCTTCACCAAAACATTCACCATTGAGCATGAAAAAAAAGGGCGGCTCGCTCAATAAAATATATGCAAATGAAGCTCAAAAAAAGAGAGTAGACACAAAGATATTCCACAGATTGCAACTCCAATTCCCGCACATTTAAAGCTACTGCATAATTTGCCTCCAAACACCGCTAAACGCCGCTGCCATGAACAGCACAAGGAATCAAACCCGAAGTTACAAGACATCCGGGCTAACAAAGGTAAAAAGACGCAATGAAGCCGCTACAGAATCGCTCCCAGCTACCCATGCGCTTCTTCCCCTTTAGCTCAGACCGAAAAAAGAGAAAAAGGTCATCCCGCAAGACGTTTTTCCATCCCTCCGCATATGGCCATCGATTGTTGACCGTGATGACGATAACTTCGACCAACACGAATGAATGCCGCAGCAAGCATCTTTCAACGTCCAACGTCCAACCTCCAATACTTATTTTTTGTTTTCAAGAAAAAAAAGTCCATTTCCCCAGTACATTCGCACAAACAAAGAAGTAAAAGGCCACCCCAGGGTTCCCAGCTGGCCATCCCAGGATACGCATGATAAAAATAATCAATATCAGACGTTGAAAAAAAGTGGAAAAAAAAAGTTCATGATTTTGAGCACCCAACCACCCGAACCGCGAAAATGGATAAGAATGATGCGTAGAACCCAGCCCGTGACACCAAAGGGAAAGGGAATCAACAAGAAGTGCAGGAGAAGGAGTGAGATGTTTAGGGTCTGCAATAGGGTTATTAAAAGTCGATGGGCACTGAGAAGCCAATCATGATGCCAGCGTCGGTGTCACATCCACCACGCGAATCAACGCTATTGTGAGTAATAGACCATGCCCGGTGCGGGCTGAGGGTAGTAGAAGCCGTCGGGGCTGGGAGTCACCATCCCACCCATTCCCATCACGCTAGGCTGATATGGCTGTGAGGTAGCGTACGGCGGGTAAGGGTTTACCGACGGTAGCTGAGAAGCATCATAATAGTAAACCATGCCATTGACTTCCTGGGCCACGAGGTTTGTATTGGGGGGTGCTGGTGGCCCCGTCACGTTGACACCTGGCTGCTCCGCTGGATTCTGAGGTGTATAGCTTCCAGGCATGCCCGGCTGTCCCTGGGGGATGAATGGAGGCGCGGTGACAGCAGAGGCGGGCATGCTTGGGCCAGAGTAGCCGTGCGGATAGTAGTATCCCTGTTGAGGGTGAGGCTGGTACTGCTGGCCGCCATAGTAGGCCGTTTGACCATACGTGTTGGGCTGGAACGGTGCGGCATGTATAGCCCGCTCTGGGATTTGGGACAGAGGCGTGCCCGTCGAGACATGGGTTGAGTATGAGGGCCGGCGCGCATGAGAGTCCTGGAACCCGTTTGCCATCTGCATGGGAACTTGCTGGTGGAAGGCTTGCTGGAAGGCCGGGCCATTCTGCGTCATGGATGGCGATTCGATGCCCGCGACGGAAATGTTCTTCTGAGGGCGAGGCTGGTGCATTGGGATCGATGCCGGGAAGTTCTCCTGGAAGTTGGGCTTCTGCGGAAGAGGGTGCGTTTGTGGCTGGGGCATGTCGACGATCGAAGCCTCCTGTCCGGCCATCAACATTGGGTCCGGTTGGCCTGCTGGCATCTCAACTCCAAGAGGCGGCATATTGAATGTTTGCGGAGCCGGAGGTAGACGGACCACAGGTCTGGTATCGGCCTGTGGTGCGGGGCGGGAGATGATGGACCCGGTAGGCGAAAATATCGCCTCCCTATCGTGCACCACGATGGATGACCGCCTGCTGACGGCAGCACTGGGGGAGTATATGCTTCCACCGTAGTAGCTGCCACCGAATATGCTGGTCCTCCGCGAAAAGCCACCCACGGAACCCCATGCAGACCGGGGCTTACCTCTAAGTCGCTGCTGGTTGGGGCGTAATGCACGAGGGATGAAGGTGAACGATCGGTCCGAGGCGGGGAAGATGTATCTCGGAGGATGGTTCGGCAGCGAGATACGCACCGGCTTGTCCCTGCGCAGGGGCGGGCGGTGATCGGGCAGCTTCGTGTACTGCTTGACCGGGAAGCCAGGAAACACCTTGGAGATGGCCACCGCAGGCAGAATGACGCGGACTTGAGCATTGCCGATGTGTTTCTCAGTCGACAAGGTTCTGTTGATGGGAGTAGCACTGGGCTCGCACGTGGGGATGAAGCCATTGCCGTTAGGCGGTCCCTCCTCGTGAGGTGCTTGCCGAGGGCGACGTGGGATCACGTCTGCGACAGTCTCGTGCATGTCGTGCGTCCAGGGGGAGTTTGTGGTCGGATCGGCGGGGTGGTGCAGCTGGCTACTACATAGTAATTCGACGTTAGTAGATGAGGCAAAGAGGGATAGGTGGGGATAGAGAAAGAGCTCGAAGAAACAGCAATCATGGCGACGGCAGAGACGATGTGACTTACTTCATTGGAGCATAAGGGCCCCCGATGCCACCGCGACCACCACCTCTGCCCCGACCTCTCCCAAACGGCCTGAACCCATTCGCGGCCGGCCCCGGATGCCGATGATCATGCATGAAGAAGGAGCCCCGGTTGGGCACAAAGGCCGGGTCCTCGTCCCTCCGGCGCTTGTAATCCTCGTGCTCCTGTCGGCGTCGATTGCCTGGCTGCCCAGGCTGAGACCGCACGGCAGACGAGGAGCTGACAATGACGGGAGCAGAGGGCGACTTGGGTGGCGAAGGCGTCGCCTCGTCGAACTGCAGCTCCTGTGCAGAGTCCGGCCGATCCGCAATGGACAGGCCATGAAGCATCAACTCGGTATCCGACACAGACTTGTTGCCATCTCCCTGAGCACCAGCCCTGGCGGCTCGGTGGCCGGGCCCCTTTGCGGTGCCGTTGGCAGACTTCCGCGCGTTGGGTGAGGTGGGTGACGCCTCGTCGATGTTGCTGGTGTCGCTATCATCAGCACCATCGTGGTCGTCGGAGATGACGGAGCCCTCGGTCAGGGAGTCGTCGTCTAGCTCCAGCGTCTCCGGACGGCCCTCATCGTCGCCCTCGTCCTCGACTCGGCGTCGTTGGCCGATGAGCTTTCTGCGTCGGGGGGCAGCGGCCATGACGGGGGCTGTTAGTTGGCGGCTTCAGCGAGACGATTAGACGGCGGACGAATGGGGCTCGTCGGGGACGGAGAGAGGGGCGAGCGATGGATCGGGGAGACCATGCAGCGGCGGGTGGTGGGCGAGGACAGAGGGCAAGTCGGAGGAGATTGAACAACAAAGGGCCGCAAGGAGGAGTGAGGAGCCCAACCCGTCCTGCGGTGCTAGACACGAAGAGAAAGGCAAAGAAGCACGATGCCCACGAGCAAACAAATCTCGACGGGCCGGACCAGACAAGGGGGTTCAAGAAGGGGCAAGAGATGAAAGAAAGACAAGAAGAAGGCGGGCAGCGGTCCTCGGGCGCCTCGTTGATGATCCAGGGGGCCGGGACGGCGAATGAAGAGAGGTCGTGATGGTGGTTTCCAAGGACAGAAAGCGGAAGATTTGACGCCAGGCCCTAGAAAAAGTGCTGGTGCTTGGCCTGTGAAGTGGTGAGGTGAGGTGGTGGACGCTTAGCCCAATCCAGGCTCGCTGCCCCCCTCCCAGCCATGTAGCTTTTGCGCACAGGCTGGGTGCGAAGTGACTTGCCCTGGCTGCAGCAGGCCCTCCAGGCCCTGGCGCTCCCCTTTCAGCGTCATGGGCCAAGGCCAAACAAAGCTGCCGCTTCGGCTCTTGAATGAGGTTCCGGCTAGGTACCGTGTGATAGTGCAAACATGTTCTGGCGTATGCAAACAGCTAGCGGAGACTACTCCTTTTCGACTTTGGGCGCCCCCAAACAAATGCCAGCAGTCACCACGACCGCCAGATCTGTCAAAATGGGCGATCGCAGCAAATGGGATGCAGCCAGCCATCTGCCCATGTCATGACTGCAAGAGCCTCTTTCTTGCTGCTTTGCCGTGACCCATCATCAGCCTGTGCTGCTTATTCTAGGGGTCGACACCACGTCAATCAATCAATCACCTGCAATCAAATCAAACCAACCGCCGCCGCCGCCGCCGTGCCACCACTCATATAGCATGGGTGACGGCCACCATCACGATCACGCCGGCCTCTGGCTCTGTTTCTCATGCTCACAGCCAGGCACGGATGCATGCGTTTGAATGGGCATTGCGTAGGCGAGTTTCGGTCGGATCATGTCGTCCTGCCAGCGTCGCAACCCCTCACTGGCCTGCTTATGCAATTGGCGACGTGCAAACTGCAGATGAGGTCCACAAGTGGCATCAAGCAAGCTCGTCCTGTTGGCCACCAAGGCCGCAAACGCCGACTGGTGCTCGGGATGCATTGCTGCCTGTCCGTCAGTTGATGCAAATGGCTCTCATGGCTGCTGACGGGCAGACGGAGCTACCCCACGGGTTTTCTGGGCCGCGGACTGAGTGGTTGGATGCTCGACAGCTCCAGAATGGCTGTTGGAGTTGTTCGTCTCGTTCTTTGTTGTTGTACTGTACTGTACTGTACTGTACTGTAGAGCATCAGCAGATGGATCCCTGCAGGTGCCATTGCTGGCCAACCACGGCGGCAATGCCCCTCTGCATCTCACTAAGCTAATCCGAAGCACAGCAGAGAGATGACGCCGTTTGATCTCACGCAGGCGGTAGCTCGCTTGGATTGTGCTCTGTACTGCAGCAGTGACCAGCTCGGGTGGAATATAATCCCGACACTTGTTCAAAGTGATGTGTCTGTACGAGCATGACTTGCTGATGCACCTTCAGGGAGGCCCGCCATAGGTCCAGTGGAGGAGTCGGCGGGCCATGATTGCATGTAGTCGAGATGCTCTAGAAATAGAAACGCGGTTGGAGAATGTGGGAGGTGGTTCTCCTCTTGCTAGGGGTCCATGTGTCACTTGGAACCTTGCGGATATACTTGGTAGAGCATCCGGCTTAAAGGCACCAAGGTTTCAGTAAGGTTGCGGAAGATGACGCCAACGTCGAAAAGCCTTGATAGCATCGAATCCATGTAGCGTGTATCAATCAATAATGCCATCAGTGGTTGATGTACTCCATCGATCATCGGAGTCCCCCATAAGCCCCCGTTGTTCTCTCAGTCTCTGGTTGGACAGCGCATCCACGTTTGCTACAGTACGCCGCCTAAACAGCACTAACAGGTAACTCGTAGCTCTAGGGGGGTTTGCGGCTTCTGGGCGCAGGCGGATGTACCTCGATGTATGTGTAATTGATGACGTTGAACTTTGCTTCACTACAACTTCATTATTCGCCCTCGATTCAACATCACCCCCAATGGCTTCCTCCTACCCGTCCTTGTAGCCACGAGCCCCCCGGCTCTTGACTCCTTGACCGACTTCCGGCATTTCCTCTAGTTCTCGGAGTTTCCTGCGGTGAGACACAGACCCCGCACGATGCCGGGTCTTGCGCGCAAGGTCTTGATCTTTGCCGCTGTCGACGGCCTCATCATCCAGCCATTGTCTTCCAAGGGACAGAAGCCATTCCAGCCTGCGAGGGTCAAGTATGGCGATGCGTCGGTGTCGGCGGCCCGCGACCAGGCCCCTGATTCGGCAAAGCCCGATTCGTGGTTTGAAGCGCTCGGCGTCATTGGTGAGTCCCGGGCAGGCGTCGAACGTGATGTGATGGCGTGTTAAACAGTCGCCAGGATTGATTACGGTGTCGCGGTTGACGTACCTGGTGACGATTACGCGCCGAGAACAGGTTGCCCAGGTGTTTGGGTTGCCCATCTATGTCGTCACTCAAGTGGCCGTGACGCCGTGCTCGTCGCAGAGTGATGCCGAGGAATCGGTGCGCAAGACGGCACGTCTTTTGCGTACCGAGTCGTCCAACAGCGTGAATAACGATGAAGATGGCAGCAGTGACGAGGACGGAGAGATGCCAATTCCGACTCCTGATGAGGAGGTCGACGACGAGGTTGTCGACAAAGGAGACGTCCCGCCAGACCCCAAGAGCAGCGTTGCCGAAGACGTGATCCGGAGACGGGGCAGCTATGGGAGATTTGCACAGCGCTGGTTTAGTCGAAGCGGGTGGACAGTCGACCAGAGAAGGACTATGGGGATGAGCAACTCGCCAACGTCCACGCCGCCCCTTGCGCCATCGGCATCACAGACCCCGGTGGTCAGTCTCGCCAGCCTACAGGAAGCGGATGAGAGTCTCTTGGCCCCGGCATCTACTCTCCTACCGAAGCTGCTTCGAACCGTCCAAATACTGTTTGGCTCATCACGTAGTTTTTACTTTTCCTATGACCTGGATATAACGCGCAGTCCGAGTGACGGTGCCTCGATTGTCAACCCCAACGGCTCCCTCTATGAGCAGGTCAAGAAGACATTCTTTTGGAACCGGCATATTATTCAACCCTTTATAGATGCCGGACAAGATGCCTTGACCCTACCTCTGATGCAGGGCTTTGTCGGCCAGAGAACCTTTGTGGCGGATTCTCAGCCTCCCCAAGTAGATGACCCCGGAGCAGACTCCATGGAGCTCAAAGATCTCTCGCCCCCGCCATCTGCCCCGGGCTCGCCGCCTCCAGGCACGGCGAGGCATTCTTTAGAGCTGCGTCCTACTGAAAAGAGCTACCTCATCACCCTCATATCGCGACGATCAACTAAGAGGGCTGGTCTGCGATATCTCCGGCGCGGCATTGACGAGGGTGGTTATACGGCCAACTTTGTCGAGACAGAGCAGGTCCTTTCATCTCCTGCATGGGATGCCTCTTCCCCAGTGTATTCGTTTACTCAGATAAGAGGCAGCATTCCACTCTTCTTTACCCAGACTGCCTACGCGCTCAAGCCCGTGCCCATTTTGCAGCACTCTGAGGACGCAAACTACAATGCCGCCAAGCAACATTTCGAAAGGCTCTCGGCATCTTACGGCGCGGTACAGATTGTCAATCTTGTCGAGAAACGTGGAGTTGAGGGCCCTATTGGGACGCAATATCAAAATACGATGGCGCGCATCAACGATGGGCTCGATGACAAGGCAAAGATTCCATTTGAGTGGTTTGACTTTCACCACGCCTGTCGTGGCATGAAGTTTGAAAACGTGAGCCATCTGTTGTCCACATTGAAAGATCAATTAGAGACGCTGGGCAGCACGGTCAAGAACAATGGTCAGCTGGTCCGCAAGCAACAAGGTGTCCTTAGGACAAATTGCATGGACTGCCTGGACCGAACAAACGTCTGCCAGAGCTCTTTTGCAAAACACTTGCTAGATTTACAACTGAAGGAACAAGGCATAGACATGAGTGCGCAGATAGACCAAGAGACGGCCTGGTTTAATACTCTCTGGGCTGACAACGGCGATGCCGTTTCAAAGCAGTACGCCTCTACCTCCGCTATGAAAGGTGACTATACGAGGACAAGAAAGAGGGATTACAGGGGAGCACTGAATGATCTCGGCATATCTCTAACACGTCTCTATACTGGGTGAGTTTCTTCTTCTGCTTCCTTCCAAGCCCAGCGGCTGGCTAATCGTCATCTCCCCTTTAGCATGGTCAACGACTACTTCAGCCAAGCTGCCATAGACTTTTTGCTCGGAAATGTCAGTGCCAAAGTATTTGAAGAATTCGAGATGGACATGATGACCAAGGATCCGGCTGTTTCCGTGGAAAGAATGCGGGAGCGTGCCGTGGAGCTGTGCCAGAAGCGAGTCGTGGCAGACGTCAATGAAGAATTCCACGGCGGCTGGGTCTTGATTAGTCCCAACGCCGCCAACATTCTCAAATCGTGGCCAATGGAGGAAACTGTCCTTCTCCTGACCGATGCTGCGCTGTACTTTTGCCGCTTTGACTGGGATCTGGAAAAGGTATCGTCGTTTGAAAGAGTTACCCTCGCCAGCATCACGAATGTCAAAATCGGCACTTACATCACCTCAACCATCTCGCAGGCGCACATGAACGAGACGAGGAACGTAGGCTTCGTGGTGTCGTATCAACCGGGCAAAAGCGATGTGCGGAGGAGGAACACTCGTACACTGTCGACTAAAGACGCACCGAAGTTCACGGCTACTGGTGAGCCTGTTCCCGCACCAACTAGCTTCGCTGGCCTTTTCTCCGGAGCAAACGCCCCCAAGGAGCCTGCCATTCGCAAACTCGCATTCAAGGCGCCATACGCCGATTCTTCAATGCCGGCAAGCGGGGCCGGGCCGCGGCAAACGGAGATGCAGATCATCGACACGATATGCTCAGAGATTGAGCGCCTTGCTTTCGAGCGGCAGCAGGTCAAGGAAGGGGGAGAGCGAAAGAAGCTGGTGGAAAAGGGCGATATTATTTCGCTGGATACGGCGAGACGCAGTACCGGGCTACTCGAGCAGCTAGGCCACTCGCTGAAGAAGCTGGTGTGGGCATAGATAGATACCTAGTAGATGGATATCCCTAACGAGAGGACCTGATATGGCTTTTTTTTTTTTTTATACATGGCAACTCAAGGGCAGATTTTATCAACTATAGCTTTCTTTCTTTGTAACATGCTCTCCTAATAGAATTTCATTGAGTTGGGGACGTACTCCTCCTCTGATATAGATGCATCTGGTAACGCATGTTTTCTAGTTGAATGGGGTAAGAGAGGCCTTCTGGTAAGCGGAACCATGTCGAGTCGTGCGACTCAATCTTTTCCCACTCGTAGCCCGCAGACGGTGCACGAGGATCAATAAGAGTGTGATCAAGCAGCCACTGCATGGGGTATCGCTTCTGTTCTTTCCCCACGGCGGCTTCTGAGTAACTGCCCGGGCTGTCCACGACAAGGAGCATGCTCCCGTCCGGCATGACCTCGCCGAGCAGCTTCAAGAATTTTGTCGTTTTCCCGATGCCTCCGTTGGTGTAGAGTTCGTTCAACGTAAACATGAGCGTTACGGCGAGAGGATCGCGGCCGAGCAGCGAAGACAGCGCCTCCTTGTCCAAAGCTAGGATGTCGCATTGGGAGAATGTCGTCTCGAGCTGGGTTTGCTCGAGGAGAGGCGTGTTTGCGGCCTTGATGGCTGCGGAGGCGTATTTGGAAAGGAGAGGCGGCGAAGTGATGTGATTTTGCAGAAGGGCGACGACGCGTGTCCAGGGGGCGGCGTCTAGGAGAGTGAGGTGGCCGGAGGAGTCTGTTTGGTGGAGGAGGGAGGCGAAGGCGATTTGTTCGGCTGCGCAGCCGCCGATGCAGAGCATTTTGATTGATTTGCGGGGGTTTGAACCTAAAGTTTTGATGTTGGCTGGTTCTGGGCTGTTTCCATCGTCGTTGTTGTTGGCAGGAGGAGGGGATGAGAGGGCCATCTCGTCAAAGTGGTGGGCGATGGTTTGGAAGATGGACGAGTAGCAGAGGGCTCTGGTAGGACTCCATCTTGCAGCGTATGCCTGAAGATTCTCCTCTGTTCCAAAGGCGGCGTCGAATTCCCGGTTGAAGAGGGCTTGTTTTATGGATTGGAGGCGGGCTGTGAAGTCGTCGTATGAGAGGACGGGGTTGAAGGCATCTGAAAAGAGCTTGAGGATGCGCTGCTGATGGATGAGGATTTGGGGGTCGACGGGGGGGATGGGGTCAGCGGCCGGTGCTTGTTTGTCTTTTTTGGATGGATTCTTTTTAGGGGCTTGTTTTTTAACCATTGTTTATATGTTGTTGTTGTGATGGAATGCTTGGTTGAATGAGATGGGGGATTTGATGGATGAAAAATTGAGTTTGTCACGGAAAGTGGGTAAATCGATGTAGGTACTCGTACATGGCGCTGGTAGGCCTCACTTCAGAAATGAGTGTATTGTAATTCAATTCATTTCTCTCTCTTCCATCTTACGCCAATATACAGCAATGATTTAAAAAAAAAACAGAAGCTCTCAGTAAATTCCATCAACACGGTAGATGGCAAACCCCATCTTCACTGTGATTCATTCGCTCGCATTGGTGGTGCCGACTCATGCTTACATACGAACTTATTCATCAAATGCTTATTGCTAGTCCTCCGTAGTTCCAGAGCAATAAATAGCCTGAAATGCTTTTTCTTTTTGACTTTCAGCCCCGTCTCAGAGAAATCGATCCGGCCAGCGCCGCTTTACGCGCAGCTTCCGGGATGCTAGATCGGCTATTGGAATAGCGCCAGGTGTCTGAGTTGACTTGTCTGATTGGTGGACTCGATGAACGATTGCTTAGGAAACGCTCCAAGGCCGCTTATAAAGGCCAAGGATTTTGCTGCAGGCGACGCGGATAGGCATCGAGATCAAGGATAGCCTATCGTGTGTGTGGATGGACTCGGCACAACTCACGTCTGAAGGCACAGGTAGTTGCATTGGCGGCTTGCCCGGGTTTGGAGACGTTGGCTTGGCTCAGGTTCAAGGTTGTTTCACGAGGGTCAGAGATGGAGTGATTTGTCTGGGAGCCTGTAGCCACCCATCCGCCCATCCGCTTGTGCCTCGTCTGTGAGATTTGAGGCGACGATAAGGCAGGCCCATCAGCAGCCGCTACGTCAGAGGCCGGGCCGAAACGGAGTATCCGAATGCAGGAAGCCGTTGCAAAAGAAAAGGCACAATGAATGGAATGGCTTCAAATGTCTGCTGCTGTCAGGGCGGTTAGTATGTACAGTAGAGTCTCCGCTCTTTGTTGCGGGAATGGAGCGTTTTGCCCGGTGGATAGGGATTGCGTCAAGCGGGCGGTAGATCATGTTGCCTCTCAAAGACGGTTTGTCTGTACTGTAAGCAGCGTGCATGCTACCCATGAGTGTAGAGGTACTAAGGTAGTAAAGTTCCTCATAAGGGTTCCTCATAAAGGTTCCTCGTAAAGGTTCCTCGCAGAAATTGATTGCATATTTACAGGGGGGCCGCAAGTCACAAGGAAGCCCCTTGGTGAGCACAGGGGTTTTTTCTTTTTTTTTTTTCCTTTGCCTTGAGAATCATCCATTGAAAAATCCTGTAAGAAACATGGAACACACACGCACACAGTAAGAGGGCGAATCGGCAAGCCGCAACAAGCTACGAGTACGGGCGGGCTTCGCAGTAGCGGAAACGGGCCCCGCTGGAACTTGCGCTCCGATTGCCATTTGCCGTTTGCCTGGCTGCGCTGCCCCGGGGCTCCAGTAGGGCGGCATCAGAGTGGCTCGTGGAGAGGGGCTACGGGAACTTGGTGCTTGGGAGCTCTAGCTGGAGAGGTTAGAGGGGCCGATAGAGCAGAGGGTTCATTCGTTAGGGGAGCATGGAATGGCCTGAGCTAAGCATCCCCTAATACGTGACATAACACTTGACGGATTTGATTAACCCCTCAACAAATTGAAAGGTTCCAGCAAGGTTAGGTTCCCTTCCCTCAACGCCCGTGACTACTAAGCTTTATATGCTGCCCTCCTCCCATCCACGCCCCGTCTCGTCCGTTCCTCTCTCTCCATATTCTCAATTATCTTTGATACCCGATTTCTTCTATAGCGCAGATCCGACCATTCGCAATCATGGGCTACACAGAGGTTGACCAGAAGGCCATCAACACCATCCGCCTGCTCGCGGTATGTTTTTTTATGTTTCTCCCCCTTGCTTTTTTACCCCGCCATTGCCCCTCCATTGCGAGAACTTTGGGCTGGGAAATTCTGGTTACGCCCGACGACAGTGGGAGGCTGCGAGGCGCCCAAGGAGGAACGCACTCGCGAAAAGGACGGGAAAAAAAAGTGCAAAGAAAGACAGACGAGAGAGGCAGGACAAAGATGGAGAGCATTGACTGACGTGCTTCGCGATTCCAGGTTGATGCGACCTTCAAGAGCAACTCGGGACATCCCGGTGCCCCCATGTGAGTCTGCCCACGCTTCGTGACGCGAAGCTCCGCTCCCGCCACTTCCGCCCTGCTAACGGTGATATCGCAGGGGCATGGCTCCCATTGCACACGTTCTCTGGGACAAGTTCCTGAGGTTCAACCCCAAGAACCCCGATTGGCTGAACCGTGACCGATTTGTTCTCTCGTGAGTGCTGTCGCCATCCCGCCCCTCCCTCTGAAGGGAATAGAGGAGAGAGAGAGGTCCCCGCGCTGCGAATCGCGAGACTAACAGGTGCTTTTTGTTTTGCCCCCATCTAGCAACGGCCACGGCTGCATGCTCCAGTATGCTCTGCTTCACCTGTTCGGCTACGCCCTGACCATCGATGACCTGAAGGCCTTCCGAGTAAGTTTGCGCCAAGCTCCGAACTGAACAAGAGAACAAGAAAAAAACCTCAATTAGCCTAGCCTATGCAAAAGAGGCTAGGATATGTCGAGCAGCACTAACTCGTGTCTTCTACCTACAGACTGTTGACAGCATCACCCCTGGCCATCCCGAGGCTCACGATACTCCCGGTATCGAGGTTACCACCGGCCCTCTGGGTCAGGGTATCTGCAATGCTGTTGGTCTGGCCATGGCCCAGGCTCACACTGCCGCTACCTTCAACAAGCCCGGCTTCAACCTGGTTGACAACTACACCTACTGCTTCCTCGGTGATGGCTGCTTGATGGAGGGTGTCTCTGGCGAGGCCTCTTCCCTGGCTGGCCACCTCCAGCTCGGCAACCTCATCTGCATCTACGATGACAACCACATCTCCATTGACGGTGACACCAACGTTGCCTTCACCGAGGATGTTGCCAAGCGCTACGAGGCCTACGGCTGGCACGTCGAGGTCGTCGATAACGGCGACCACGACCTCGAGGCCATGGAGGCCGCCATCAAGAAGTGCCAGGCCGTCAAGGACAAGCCTTCAATCATCAAGCTGCGAACCACCATCGGTTTCGGCTCCCTCCAGGAGGGCACCCACGGTGTCCACGGCTCCCCCCTCAAGACCGACGACATCAAGCAGCTCAAGACCAAGTTCGGCTTCAACCCCGAGGAGAGCTTCGTCGTCCCCAAGGAGGTCGCCGAGCTCTACGGCAGACACTCCTCTGAGGGTGCCGCCAAGGAGGAGGAGTGGAACAAACTGTTCGCTCAGTACGCTGAGAAGTACCCCGCCGAGCACGCTGACCTCACTCGCCGCCTGAAGGGCGAGCTGCCCGAGGGCTGGGAGAAGAGCCTGCCCGTCTACAGCACCAGCGACGCTGCCATTGCCAGCCGAAAGCTGTCCGAGACCGTCCTCAGCAAGGTCCAGACCATCCTCCCCGAGCTTCAGGGTGGCTCTGCCGATCTGACTGGCTCCAATCTGACCCGCTGGAAGGAGGCCGTCGACTTCCAGCCCCCTGCCACCGGCCTCGGCGACTACTCCGGACGATACATCCGATACGGTGTCCGCGAGCACGGTATGGGCGCCATCATGAACGGTCTGGCCGCCTACGGAACCATCATCCCCTATGGTGGTACTTTCCTCAACTTCGTCTCCTACGCTGCCGGTGCCGTCCGTCTGTCCGCCCTGTCCCGCGTCCGAGTCATCTGGGTCGCCACCCACGACTCCATCGGTCTGGGCGAGGACGGTCCTACTCACCAGCCTATCGAGACTCTGGCTCACTTCCGTGCCCTCCCCAACTGCATGGTGTGGCGCCCCGCTGACGGCAACGAGACCAGCGCTGCCTACTACATTGCCCTGACCTCCAAGCACACCCCCAGCATCATTGCCCTGTCTCGTCAGAACCTGCCCCAGCTCGAGGGCTCCATCATCGAGAAGGCCATCAAGGGTGGATACGTCCTGCAGGAGGTCGAGGGTGCCCAGATCACCCTGGTCTCTACCGGTTCCGAGGTTTCCATTGTCGTGGATGCCGCCAAGGTTCTCTTGGAGAAGCACAACGTCAAGGCTCGCATCGTCTCTATCCCTTGCTTCGAGGTGTTCGATGCCCAGTCCAAGGAGTACAGACTCTCCGTCCTGCCCGACGGCGTCCCCTCTCTGTCCATTGAGGTGATGAGCACCATGGGCTGGGAGCGCTACACTCACGAGCAGTTTGGCCTCAACCGATTCGGTGCCTCTGGTGCCTACAAGGATGTCTACAAGGTACGTTGGAGCAAAAAGAAGAAGAAAAGTAAGAAACAGCCTGCTAACCCATCGCTATAGAAGTTCGAGTTCACCCCCGAGGGTATCACCAAGCGTGCTCTCCTGACCATCGACTTCTGGAAGGACGTCCCCAACGTTCGCTCTCCCATCAACCGTGCTTTCCAGCAGCTCATTTAAATTTTTCGGCAGATGCAATTAAAACAACTCTTCTATAAAAATTTAAATCATACAAAAAACATGTGGAAAGAAAACGCCGGTTGCCCTGAAAAAAAGGAGGGAAACATGATTTCACGTATTGACGACTGTACTGAGGAGATTAAAGGAAACGTTCGATTTCCTTCTTTTAAATATCGTAAATAGATGAAATGAAAAAAAAAATTGAACAAAATGAGTATGAAGATGAAAAAGTCAATTGCCTATGATAACCCTGTTTTTAAACGCCAGTGGAGCCAACGTGGTAGCTAAATCTCCTGTATGCTATAACCCGACTCTGACTCTGCGTAGATGAAGATTTGGAGAGAACAAGTAGGAAAATATAAAATATAGAATAACAAAAGAAAAAAAAACAGGTAAAAAAAGAGCGACCCAGCCATCTTTCTCATTAACGCGCGTGTATACTCGTCCTTTTTTTTCTCTTCTCTGCGCCGCGCTGCCCAAAAAATGCTGTCATCTTTCCCTCCCATGTATTATTTCGCTCGAATGCAGCCGCTGGCCTCGGCTGCACTTGTTCGGACTCCATTCTCTTTTGAGCTGTTATAAAAGCCGACTCCGCCTGGTTCGGTGTCGAGCTTTGTCGCTGGTAGAGATGGGGAGATGGGCTATATATATATATATACCATCCATGGTGTCTCGTTTCACTTCTCTTTGTTGATTATTGCTATTATTGCTGCTAGATGTATATGGCAGCGAGAGCCGTCTGAGGGTTGTTGCCGGGGCTCACTCGGGGGTGCTCCTCCCGTCGGTGTCCTGCTCGAGTCCCTGAGCCGCCCACTCCTTTTGAAACTCGCGGCCGATGCGCTCCAGCCTGGCAGCAGCGCGGCGGGCCTCCCCCGCATCGTCTGACGAGGCGGCGACGACAACGCCGATGAGGACGGGGGCAACGGCGTCGTCGCCGGTCCTGGCCGTTGCGTCGTCGGGATCGGCGTCGGCGTCGGCATCATGGTCGTGGTCGTGGCCGTGGCCGTGCTTGTATTTGGAGACGGACTCGGACTCGGGGTGGCCGCCGCCTGACTCGCGGGGGTCGAGGTAGGACTGCAGGACCACGGCGCCGGAGTCGGGGTACTCGACCATGATGCGCTGAGGGCGGCCGAGGTTGGCGCGCTGGGCGGTGGTCTGGGAGGTGATGGCGCTCGAGGTGAGGGAGGTGAGGGACTCGAGATGGGTGGGCGAGGAGGAGGATGTGATGAGCGGGGTGAGGGTGAGGTCGGTGAGGTGAAGGGAGAGGGTAGGATGTTGTGACGGGAGACTGGACATGGTGAAGGAGTCTTTTTTTGCTTTGCTTTGCTTGTCCAAGGATGCTGGGGGGTCGATGTCTGTATCTAATAGGGAGATCTTTGCTGCGCTGTCCCTCCTGATTTGGTTTGTATAGGTAATTTTTTTTTTTTTGAACTGTTTCCCCCCTCTGTTATTGTAGTTCCCGCTTCCGCAGCGACATGGGACGGCGAACACGCTCGGGATTGGTTGGCGAAGGTGGTGATGGGCAAGAATGGAGGTGAGTCGCTGCCTCGCCTTATCTCGACAGAGTGGGTGCTGATGACGTCGGTATAGCAAGGCGTTTTACCGTCGTGTCATTGCGAATGGCTGAGCGCGTCGTTCTCGCCGGTGGGCAGAAGAAAGGGAGAAGAAGCCGGAAAAGATGACAAGGAAACGACAGGAAGTGCGAACGCAAGGGGGAAGGACGAGATGAGAGCAGAAGAAGCGAGTCACGCACTCGGTGCAATAAGACACACTGAGGTATTAAGAGGGTCCATTCTCTCTGCTATCATGGCTGGTACTTGGTGCATACAGTACATGAGCAGAAGCGTCGGGGAAGCTGTCGCAGCGGGCCCTATCTTGGGTAAAGCGCTAAAGGACAGGGCCTAGAGAAGGACTGGAGAGGTCCAGCCCCCCCCTCTTTGGGCCCCCGCTAGGCTGGGTCACCCCGCGCTTTGGTGCTTGCGTTAGCACTTGGCCTTTTGCGAGCTCTGGGCTGGGCTACTAACACAAGGAGAGGAGAGGAGAGGAGGTATCGTACTGTAGCATTGGGGGAGTGGTGTTGCTTTGCTGATTGCATCTTTGGGGGCGGGGGAATTGGACGAGGAGAGGAGAGAGGAGAGGAGGAAAAAGAGGGGAGAGACGGGATTTACCTGACGATGTGGTACTACGAGTATACGCATTGCTACTGCTACCTTCAATTGCCTAGCAGTACTACCTGAGGTCAGGATTGAGAGCGTCATGGACACCAAGCCGGACCGGACAATTAGGGCTAGCAGGTACTATACGGAGGAGGCAGGCACAGGTACAGACAGCTACTAGGTACCTCTAACTTAAGGTGCTGCTACGGGTAGGACGGGTACAGCACGGAGCAAAGGGAGCACAGGAGACAGGATTGACGAAGCAGACCGCAAGTCACCAGGGGGAAATTGATCAACCCCCCTGATAACGAGAGCCGGATGCAGATGCACACGTGCATGGCATTCTGCGGGAATTGGCGATTGGATCACTGCAATTGATTGTCACGTTGAGTGCAGCAGGTCGCCATTGCAGTTGAGTGCTAGCAGCGGCGCGCTAACAGCATCATTCATGACGAGTACCTTACAGTAGCTGTCCGAGTCAAGTGTTTTAACTCAACTCAACTCAATTGGGGGGGGGGGGGGGGGGGGGG